AAGTATACTGTTTTGGTGTATGTAGTTGGGTTTAGTGTTTCTGTAGGGTTTAGTGTTTCTTGTAAGCTTCTTGTGCTTACAAGAAAGTATACTGTTTTGGTGTTTGTAGTTGGGTTTAGTGTTTCTATGTTGTTCCTGTAGGGTTTAGTTTTGAATATTAAAGAACTCTATATGTCCTGCTTCTCTTATTATCTTTGCTGCCATTGTACTGCCCTGTAATGTTTACTGTAGGGTTTAGTGTTTCTTGTAAGCTTCTTGTGCTTACAAGAAAGTATACTGTTTTGGTGTTTGTAGTTGGGTTTAGTGTTTCTGTAGGGTTTAGTGTTTCTTGTAAGCTTCTTGTGCTTACAAGAAAGTATACTGTTTTGGTGTTTGTAGTTGGGTTTAGTGTTTCTATGTTGTTCCTGTAGGGTTTAGTTTTGAATATTAAAGAACTCTATATGTCCTGCTTCTTTTGGTTTACTGATTATTGTTCTTTTTCCTGCCCATTGTTCTCCACCATTGTTGCCCTTTTAAGTAGCTTTATAGCCTTCTCTCCATTACTGTATACCATTTCTTATTGTATTTGTATAAAGTACTCTTAACCACCTCTGCTTTTCCATACCTTGTAGAAGACCTGCCTGAAAGGATTTTTCAAGTCGATCGGTACCCTGGCCATGTGGTGCGTATCAACTCATACTCTAAGCCTCAATACCTAATTGACATACTTACTGCATTGGAAGGGACACCTGAGCTGCAGAAGCTATTGTCGTCCCCGCTTGGGTCTTTATTCTCCTTGCCGGTGAGGCAAAGTTCTGTATCTGGCCAATTGGTGCACCAGATGTTATGTAGACAGCTTCATACCACCAATGTAGACGAAACTTGGTTTGTCTATGGGGGTCAGCCTTTGCGTTTCTCTCTTACAGAATTTCACCAAGTTACTGGTTTGTGTTGTTCTCCTCTGCCGCCTGTCGAACAACTTGCTGCAGCAACAACGCATGAGAATGGTAGTGCTCCTTATTGGTATCAACTAATTGGTCCGACGCTTGGTGCTGCTACGGTTAAGGAAATTGTTGGTTGGTTAAAGGCTGAACCAAATATGCCTATCTGGCGTAGGTTTAGACTTGCTCTTATTGTTATTGTTGAAGGAATACTCTTGTGCAAGACCCAACCTGTTAAACCCTCGGTTGAAGTTGTAGAGATGGTGAAGAATGTTGACTTCTTCTTAAATTATCCCTGGGGCCGCCACTCGTTCCAAAGGCTTCTGCGTATGGTCAAAGTTGGGGAAAAAATAGAGACGAAGGCCGACCTTATAAACAAGCTAAAGCAATCAACCATGGCTGTTCATGGTTTCCCTCTTGCTATCCAGCTCTTTACCTTTCGATCCATCCCGTTGCTCCTTCAATACCTCCCTCATTCTGAAGATGACTCAACTTTCCTTCACAAAACCTTAACGCGCCTTCCCAAATGCAAGTCATTCCATACCTCCAACATATTGGCTGTTGAAAATGATCCATCTGTAAGTTTTGCTTCTTTTAAGTTTTGCATCCTTTTTGTGTACTACTTTACTGTTGGTGTAATCTCTTTTTCCCATGTGAACAGATGGTGGTTTTGTACCCACACCCGGATGGCCCTCCATTTGGTTCTTCAGAATCAGAAGATGATAAAGTCGGAAACCTTGAAAGGCTTATTTTTGCTGGTTTTCCATTTACCAAAGCCTTTTGGTGTAGTGGTGATGGGTCCTTACCGTCATTGTACACTTCCCGCAGGCGGAAAGAAATAACTGCAACTAGTACCACCTCTGATTCTGACTCTTCCGAAATGCAACGACAGAGGAAATCTTCAAATCCCAAGTTTATCAATACTGCAGAGGATGTTACCACTCTTCTGGATTAAAAACTTAAAGGTTTTAAAGCATCTTTGCTCGCTGACCTTCGTGGAATGATGCGAGCAAATGAATCTCCACCTGCTGTTCAGTCACCGACAGGCAAAAGCCCTTCTCATGTTTCTGAAGCTCGGTCTTCGGAACCATCACGTGTGACCCGTTCTGCCCGTGTTGGTCAGTATGTCCGGGTTCCAACAGCCCCTGGTCACAGCCTTAGTCAACGTGATGGTACAAGATCAGATACAATCGAACCTGAAGGTTCCACATCGGCCACCTGTAACGCAAAAAAAAATTCCCATCCTCCATCTTCCCGTCCTACATCTCCAACCGCCGTACCTCAGTTTTCTTCGCAGGTCCTTATTTTTACCCTACCCTTATAATCTTTCTCATTCTATGTGGTATAATCCTCTGCTGTACCAACCTCCTTCTCCATCCTCCACTGCTCGGAAGCAACCACTAGAGCCACCTGCTGTCTCCACGGTAAAACAACAGTTCCGTTTCGCTCAGAAAAGAACCCCTGCCAAGGTACTGTTAACAGGAGCACCTCTCATATAGCCCCATCATATCCTTGTATCCTCGTTTGCCTATTTACGCTTGTTCTTTTTTCCCCTATCTGCAGGCGTTCTCGCTACTTGCTGAAGCTACCCACTCGTCCGCTGATAGGCACTGCTCCCACTACAAGAAAAACGTTCATTGATAGCGCAAACCATCTGCTATCTTACGTTATTGATAGCGAAATCACAAATGCTGTGACATCGGCAGCTATGGTAGGTGTTTCCCACTACGATAGCATTATTTTGATATGCTATGATAGTTTTAGATACAATAGCTTTATTTAACCGCTGGTTAGTTATTTGGATATAGCAGATGAAATTTTGGTAAAAAGTAACGACAATTCAAATTTTGGGCTATAATAGGTTCTTCTACGTTAGCAATTTGTTCTTGCTGTTTAATTGGTTTTCGTAGCTTCATGTTTTGTGCTATAATATCTGATTTTCTACAATGACAGTGAAGAATTGCTATACTTAATTTAATTATGGCTTTTAATTTTGCTATTATATATATTTTCAGAGAGCTATATATTTTGATTCTATACCTGTTTTGCATAATATAAACATGAAAACATAAGTCTGAATATAAATTGTAACATAAGTCTGATTCCAATTCAAAAGTTAGAAAGTTATACAGAATCATTCAACATAACAAGTCTAAATCCAAAAGACATAACAAGTCTGATTCCAAAGTACATAACAGAAGCTGATTAGTCTAGTCTTAAACTAATTAAAACTACCTAATCTGGACCAAAGTTTCTTCATTCCCTGCAACAATCAACAAAGTCTCATATCAGTAGCAGATATAAAAGCAAAACACAAGCATCACAGTAATTACAAAACTTACCCCAGTTTCTTCATCTACTCAATAGATGACCAACTTATCCATTGGCCATGCAATAGATGAACCAAGTGAATCTCTCATATACTCGATTTCATCTGATGGCCTCCAAACTGCTGCATCATCTATCTTCACTACATCTACCCAAACTCTAGCTGCATTTGCCCCCAAGCGAACATGGTGTATCTTTTGGTCTGGGTCGATTGAATGCACACGTCCTTCACCAACCACCCGCCTCTTTCCACTAATATCCATTAACTTGCACTTCTGATTAGCCTTGATAACTTCAGCTCCAGTTTTACGCTGCCATATTACAATATAAACAGGTTTAATTCATGTATAATAATAACCAGAATCAGTAAGTAACAACATCTGCTAAATTTACCGGAGATCTTCGTAGAGGGGAGGGTGAAGCTAACTGACTTTTCTTTACAGGAGGCTTTGAACATGTTGCTGGAGACTTCTCAACAAGAGATTTTGAAACTGTGGCTGCGGATTTCGTTCCTTTTGTTGTGGCTGCGGATTTTGATATCTCAAGAGAAGACTTATAACCAGCTGCTGCATTTAGTGGACCTGATGATGGTGCTGTTCCTCCTGATGCTGCTGCCTTTTCTGTTGTTGTTTGATGAGTTGATGCAGAAGCCTGATGAAGTGGAGACTTCTGACATGTTGCATCTGCATGGTTTTCAAAGACAACTTTGTTGGCAGGCCAAGCTACAGAAGACTGTAAACAGTCCTCAAGGTACATGACATCAATCGTTGGCCTCCATATAAATGTCTCAGGTTGAATCACTGCATCCACAAATATTTTCACTGCTGCTGGTCCGAGAGGAAGCCCATTAACTAATGCATTGGCATCTTGTGTCTGCCAACGTCCTTCTGCAACAACAACATCATATGAAGACAAATCCAGTAGCTTGCACTTGTTCACAGAATTA